CGGGATCCACGCACCCCACAGGACCCTAGTAGTGGTGAGTATCAATGAGGAGGGCATAATGGGAGAAGTGAGGTAACGGGAGAAAGGGGAGAACAGAGAGGCTTGTTGACAAGGGAGTACCTGATCTTGGATCTAAGGGAGGTGAGAGAGATGGGATGTGCTAAGCTTTCTGTATTGTCTAATCTCAGTCTTAAAGAAGAGTCGGAGGCGGGGGAGAGGATGGACTCGGGCCCTGGGGCCAGAGCAGTTGCTGAGAGCCTGTGAAGCCATCACTGCAGGAAAAGGTTTGTGCCCCTTAGAGAGAGATGTGGCAGGCCATGGGGGAGACCTAAGGTCCAGAGTCATTTTCTCACCTTTCCCAAAGTCAGCACCTCTATTATGGACTAAGGCGAGAGGCCAGGGGTAGGGATGGAAGAGGGAGCAGACTGACTTGGTGAAACCAGAGAGACAGGAGCCCAGCGTAGCTACCTTCAGGCTTCCCAGAACTTTTTAGAAAACTCAAGAGAAATACTTGTGATTCCAGAGTGGAGTCAAGTGAAGGCTGGGGAGAGTTAGCTGTTGTGCAGGTGGGCACTATCCTACTCCAGAGAACACTAGTTACATCAGCTGTGCAGTCATAGTCTGTACCATTACATACAGTGGCCCTGAGGAGAACCTTTTTCACCTTCTTTCCCGAGCAGTGGACTTGAGCAGCTGGCGGGAGAAGATTGCCCGGGATGTGGCTGGGGCCACCTGGGGTAATGGCTCTGGTGAGGAGGAAGAGGATGATGGACCAGCAGTCCTGGTGGAGCAGCAGACTGACTCAGCAATGGAGCCAGCTGGCCCAACCCAGGAGCGCTACAAGGATGGAGTGGTGACTATTGGCTGTGTGGGTAAGGAAGCAGTGGCTCATGCATGGTGGCCTCAATATTTGGAAAAGAAGCTGATGAGGTTTTATTAGGCTCCAGGGTCTCTGGAGGCACTCTGCTATAGTGGAAGGATCATGGCATGCCTGAGTTAAATTCTGCTTTTTCTCAGTTGTTATTGATCTTGAACAAGTGTTTATCCATTCTCAGTCTTAAGTACTTTGATTTTTTTCCGGGTGTGGTGGGGGGAGAGGTAATTTGATGTTTAAAATGAGGACACTGATACCCAGGTAAAAGTACAAATGTGAGAAGTTAAGAAGAACATAGACACCCTAAAAAAGCTTGACAAATAGTGATGATAAGAATAATCATTAAAATATAACATTTATATGGTACTCACTATGTATCAGGTGCTGATCTAAGTGACTTAATGTGTGTTAGCTATTTCAGTTGTAGTAATTAGCCATTAGTAGAGTGGTCATTATATCATAGTAGAAGCTTAGCAAGTAATAGTTTCTTAGTCTTTACTGTTAAGGAGGATCTTCCCTTAATCCAGAGATTTGTCTCTGCTCTTGGTGGGAGAGAAAAGAATGTCTTATTAGGGCCCGCAGGGCCCCTTTTGATTTTGCGTGGGAGAGGTGAGAAGTGACTTTGGAAAAATTGTTATATGAGGTGTTATTGGAACCAAAGGAGGCCCAGCCTAGAAGAAATTAGGGAGAGCAGAGTAGTTGCCTCATGAAATGCTCCTAACTTATCTTTATTCTTCTTTTTGTCTTGGGAAAAACCTGCCTGACTGCTGACAGTTTGCTCCCATTTTCAGTCATTTTTCTCTGGCTTTCCCTTCCCTGATTTCTGACCCCAGCTGTCCCGCCCAGGAGGCCATGTCCTCTTTCAGTAGCCTCTGCACTAACTTGTCTGTATTCAGACTTGTGTGACAAGGAGAGCATTTGCTGTGGCACAGGCAGCCCTGAGTTTGGATTTCCCTTTAGCTATCATTCATTTATTTATTCCACAAATATTTACTGAGCACCAGGTGCCAGGTGCTATTTCCAGAGCTGGGGATATGCTGCCATGAAAATGGCAGAAAAGTCCCTACCCTCATGGAGCTTGTTTTCTTGTGAGTAAATCAATTCGTCATTTGAAATTATATTACTTAGGGACAATGAAACGGAAGAGAAAACTGGGTGAGAAGGAGTCCTCTGGGAAAGACTCCTGAGAAGAGCCTGGGATGATGAGAAATGGCTGTTTGGAGATGTGGGGAAATGGTCTTCTAGGCCAACGGGGTCAGTAAGTGAGAAGATCTTGAGGTAGGAATGAGCTTGTTGACTGTGGGACCAACTAGAGTGCCAGGGGAATTGGAGTATGGTAGCCAAGAAAGACAGTCGGGGATGAGGTCAGAAAGGTGATCAGGGATCACATCATGTAAGGTCTCATGGCTAAGAGAAGGCGTTTTGGATTTATTCGAGATCTGATGAGAAGTCAGTGGTGGGTTTTGAGCAGGGGAATGACAGGATCTGATTTCTTTTTTGAGAAGTTTATCTGCAGAGTAGAGAATACATGTGGGGGTAGGCAAGAAAGGAAGCAGAGAGAGCACAGTCAGAGGCTATTGCAGTGGACTTCCAGGTTTTTGTAGTGAGCAACTGGGAGTACTGAAATAGGAAGGTTGGGAGGGGATTCAGAAATTAAATCTGAGATTCTTTAAAATTATTCCAAGTGGAGATGGTGAATAGGCAGGTTTAGGAGCCTGGAGCTTAAGGAAGAAGACTGCAGATTTGAATTTGGGAGAGATTTAATGTGGGGAGCCATTGGTGAATATAAATGATACTTAAAGTCATGAATTCAGTGAGATGTGGGAGAAGAGGTAGATGGAGAGAGGAGGTCAAGCCAGCATTTCTAGAGATTGGGCAGAGGAGGAAGAAATGGAAAATGTCACAGATGTCAAATGAAAAAATGTTTGGAGAGGAAAGAGGGGCTCAGTCGTATCAAATGTTGCTGACATTTGGATGAGGTGAGTACAGAGACTTGTTCAGTGGACTTGGTGATGAAGATGAGTGGTTTTAGTGGAGTGGAGGAGAGAAAGCGAGATTGGAGTAGGCCAATGAGAGGATAGACAAGAGTATGGCAGAACCTCATATAATGTTGTACTTGACTATAGCCAGACACAACAGTCTCCATATTGTACAATGCTTCATTCAGGGATACACAGGTCAGAAAACTTAAAAACGTAAGCAACCGAATTCCTTCCAACTCAGGATAAGGCTCACATGTACAGAGGAAGAGGGTTATGATCAAGAAGGGACAAATGGGGCCTCTGGGAGGATGTGCGTCACACCCTTGGTCCTGGGGTGGATGATATGGGGTTCATCTGGCACATTCATGTTTTATGCATTTTTACATAAAACATTGTTACAGTTCATGGTTATAAAGAAGGTTGCATGAAAAAGTGGTGACCAAAAATAGACAAGTCTTTGGAGGAGTTTCACTATAAAGGGGACAGAGAAATGAGGCTGGTCGGGATTGTCAGAGGAGGGCTGTTTTCTCCATTTCTTCCTCTTTTGGAAAGGAAATACCTTAGTGGGTTATAAATGGAGCACAGTCAATATGGTGGTGCATCTTTCC